GCTTTTACTTTATTTTTCTTCCTTCTTTTGTGATGTTTCCTGAGCCTTCCATACTGTGTGTGGGGGAGTGCAATAAGAGGTTAATATAGATGATTCATTCAGAGCTGAACACTTATGGGTCATTTATACTTGACGCTTTGACCAGTTATGTGTCTCTGCATCAGCTGTCACCCAAGCAAGTCAAATCTATGGGATAAACATAAATCTTAGGGAAATAATTTCAGAACATGACCATTTAGCCAAACAACACTAGTAAGCTTTCCCCCTAGGGCCTATAACTACCCTAGTCATGGGCTTCTGACTAGGTACACAGTAGCAGAAATTCTTCCTACGGAGCATGTCTCAGATCCAATCAGAAAGAGGTTGTTTAGCCCCAAGTCATCATGCCACTATTGCTCCAGTTGGCTCCAATTGCCAAGCAGGTGAGTATTAAGGCATGTGGAGTCCAGATCTGGATAAACCACTAATATTTTCCCCTTTGAGCAAGTTCATTGCACCATCTGCCACTATGTCAGCTAGCCATCAGGGAAGAGTTTCTGGTCAGTACAAATTGATTTCTCTATATGTCCTACATTCAAAGTGAGTGGTGTCTCCATCAATAGGTACTTACCATCTGGCTGTAGTGAGCAATAGCAGTGTCCCACATTGTTTTGTGTAACTATGGGTTCTCTCACCAATAACTCATCTATTAAGGTATCCTGTGCCCCACACTGAGATCTACAATGAAGAAAGAATGTCTTCTTGGAGCAACATTTTCCACCCAGAAAGGCACTTCTGTTCCCATGACTTTTCTTTGTATTACAAATTTTAATTAGCTTACAAACGAGTGGATGCTTATTAGGCTTTTTCATATAACCTTGGTTAACTCATCCTCTATCCTCCTCTCTCCACCCTCCCTATCTTCACTAAAACAATTAACCCTGAAAGTAATCCGACTCTCCTTTCATGTTGCCTGCATTTGGCTGACAAGTTTTAATACTAGTTGAGTTTGACTATAACAAGATCATCCAGGTCTTAAAATATGTTAAACAAAACTTTTATTATTATATAATAATAAAATTCCAGTAATAAATAATAAATATTCTCATTTCCATTGAGTGTTAAGAAGCAAATATTCTATTATTGGTATAAAATGTTCTATAAAAATTGAATGTTATGCTTCAAGGCATTTATTTGATCAGTTCCTTTCATAAAATCTGCTCTAAGTTATAATAGTACTTATTTTCACAGATTCATAGGTATTTCTAATAAGCCTCATGCTATCTTGTTAACATGTTTGTTTACATAGACAATTTTCCCCTATTGCAGGGGACCAAACTCAGAACTTTAACAATGCTAAGCAACTACTCAACCACTGGGTTTGGCCCCAGTCTTCAATTCCCTTTTGAAAAGAGTTAAATCTTTTTACTTGTTTGATGCTCCTTTGCTGGCTCTTCATTGTTTGCCCTTGAAAGGAGTCATCCACCTGTCTTTTCACTGGATTACTTTCAAAGCCAATTCTCCTTCTGCTGTTATATTTGTTAACTGTATGTAATATGCCTTCCTACTGGGGTTGATTTTAAGGCTTTTTCTCTTCATCATTGCTATTGAATAAGTTGTTTCTGATGTGCCTTGGCACAGGTTTTTCTCTTGTTCTGTGTGCTGGGAGTTTGTTTCTGTCAAATATTTCAAGTGTTCTCCATACTCTTTAGAGTTTTCTAGTTATTAATATATCCAGCCAATCAGAGAGGTCCCACGGTGCACTGGTGTGATTTTTTGCCACTTAAAATCTTGTTTTCCATATGTTATTTTGATTTGGAATCATTTCTACAGTTATGTCTTCTTTTCATTAGTTGCTTTTATTACACAGTCTTTAGTTTGCTTTTAATCTTATCCATTATAAGCGATCATAAACAGTGTAGTTTTCATCTTTAGTTTGATTCAGGTCTTTAAACACACATGCGTACACACACAATGAGTACATGCATGCGCACACACACACCTTCAACGTCTGCACTTAGCACATTTCATCATATTCCTAGACTCTTGGCCATATGGCATATAGTCAGAAGTGTTTTAACATCCTTGTCTGATCATTATAACATCAGCATCAATTCTTTATTCATCTCCATTTGTTGGGTTCCCCCCCTCCCTGTTTGGGTCACATTCACCTGCTTCTTTTGTAGTTAATTGTATTTCTTCATTGACAGTTTCCTTCATGTATATAATGCATTTTGGTTACTCTTTCCCACCAGCTTTTTTCTCCCTCCCATCCTATTTCCTACAAATATCCTTCCCAAGTTCCTGTCTTTTTTGCTTTTGTGTGGTGTGTTGTGTTATGTGACCTACTGAGTTTCATAAGGGTTGTCTGTGTGACACAGGTTTGGAACTATTCACTGAAGGTGAGGGCACACATTTGACATGTAATATACGCTCAGTGTTCTAAAAGCTATTCTTGAGTTTACTTCTGGAGCAGAGTTGAGTTACACACGCTGATGCCTTTGATATTAGGAGACCCCACACAGTAAGGTCTCCCTTTTGGACCCAGATTAGGCACAAATAATATCCAGAAAGCTGTTTTCACAGAGAGACCCTTTATTAAGCAGGAAAGAAAAGTTAAAGTGGCTGCTTTCTGAATTAGGCAGAAAAACGGCAGCAAATGACCTTGCAGGTATAACTTTTAATAAGAGAAAAAGGGAAATCTGTGTTAGAATGGACTAGGATATGGTGGTATATTTTGATTGGGCATGTTAATTAAGTTAACCAAAGTGAGCTTTTAATTGCTATACTTCAATGCTTTGCTATCTGGAGCTTGGCAGTCAGCCTCAGAAGGAAGTGGCCAAATAAGGAAATAGATGTTAGTAGCCAGCTTTAGGAATATACTTTAATGTTTTTTAGCAAGGCAGAGGGAATAGAGATAAGGGGCAAAATTGCCAGAGGCATGTTTGTCAAGTGCCATGTTCAAGCTGGCAAGAGTCCCTTCCTTTGGGTCTTATTTTTTTTAAGACAGTCTGGGGAACCAGAACAATGTTTATTCTCAGGCTACTTATTCCTCACCTCTGAGTCAAGACATTAACTGTGCTATATGAATTACGAAGTTTTCCAATATGGCAGGTGGAATCATACCCTATTCTTGTGCCTGGGTGAATGCTGAGCCCTGTTTCCTTCAACTCCTTCAGATGGCTCCTTCTCAATGCTAGAGCATAGCTAATGAGATACCCAAGAACTGTTTCTCCCTAGGATTTTCTTTTTTTCTCACCCTGGCTGCAAACTCTAGATGTCTCAGTCTTGCTAAAGTTTTAACTCTGCTTCCTTTATTATAGGTGTCTTACAAGACTCACCATTTGTTTCTGTTCCTATACCAAAGCTTGTAAACTAGGGGCAGAAATCTTAGTAATTATTGGGGCTCACACCACTGATTCTGCTTCTCAGTAATTGCTGTCATGAATTGCTGTCTGCTGTCTTAAAACAAAACAAATCCCATTTTTCATGTACTTTGTCCAGTATTTGATTGTTTCAGGAGGCAGAGAAATTCTAGACCCTATTACTCCAGCTTTCCAAGAGAAGAAGATCTTGGGTGAAGATCTCCATATTTTATCCTTAACAACACAACAAGAGTGATGTTTTTATCAGAGAAACCATTACGTCAACATTTTCCTCTGAGTTCCTCAGTCTTACCCAGGTTCAGCTGTTAAAGCCTTGTCTCTTGATTTTTAGCTTTTAAATGTCTTGAGTCTGAATTAAAGAATATGGGTTTAAATTTCATAGTTGTAGGAAAGCCGGTGTCTTTCTTCTTACTTTGACCTCAGGCAAACTAGTTGGATGTGGGCTGGCTGGACCACCTTAGAGATTATTTCTACTTTCTCAGAATATGACAATTAAAACTGTCTGAGGAAAGCCCAATGGGAAGGCATTGCTGTTAAGGGAGGCATCCTCAAGGCTGGATCTGCAAAGATAAATATTACCTAAGAGCTTTGAGTTAGAAGTTAGCTGTCTAAACAATGGGAAGTTATATGGTTCTCACTTAGGTACCAGATTTCTAAGCATCATATCTATCAACAGTCATCCTTTTGACCAACTTCCAGACTCCTCCTTTGTCTTTTTCTTCTCCAAGAAAAGACAAGGCCTTCTAGCATTAGTAAGAGTTACTAGAGTAAATGAGAATCTAATTATTTGGGCTGGAGTGAAACTCAGGTAACAGAGTATTTATTTGCCTAGCATGCATGAAGTCCTGTTATGGATTTAATCCATAACAGTACACAAAATTGAGTGTGATAGTATACAAATGTACAATCATTCAGGATGTAGAGACAGGAGGATGAGATGTTTATGATCCTTCTTGGCTTGGCTACATATTGAATTTGAGGCCAGCCTGGAATACGTGAGACCCTGCCTCAGAATAAAATGCCATAGTTTAGTACAGTGACTTGCTATCAGGTACCTGTTCTTTTACCCCACCCACACACAATATAATATAATACAGCACAGCACAATACAACACAACATGTACCTATGATAGCTCCAAAACCTAGCCTGTTGCTTTTCTGCCCTGTTCAGTGTTTCACAGTAACAAAAGCCACAGTCTAGACATGAGCATGGCCTTGCCGTCTTAGAATGAGAGTTCAGAAAAATCTAGGAGTTATTACCTAAAATGTAGTCAAGGGAAAAAGAATATATATGTGCAAACATATTACATGAAGGTATTTTTGTTTTATTAATGTGATATTTATGGACATATGCACTTCTTGGATTTTTTTTGTCCTCAGTAGAGTTTCAGCTCACAATCAACCATATTAAAGTTTAAGAAGTCATGTGTTTACAGGCTCAGGAAACTGTAGATGTAACTGTACATGAGCTTTCTGACACGTGAAAAAAGATGTCCTTTGAAGTTCCCCATTGGATCACTCATGGTCAGACCTTGGGGAATCTCTAATGTACCAGAGATGGAGAGGGTTTGCTCTTGGTCCTGTGGGCAAGATGATTCCACTCCCCTAACCCCTGGGTCTCTTTTCTTCCCACAGGCACCCGAGTGGACAGAACAAACAGCTGTCAGTCCGACAGCAGTGGGTTTTTGGAGGAGCTGCCAGAGCCTCAGCCCTTCCAGGTAGAAGAGACTGGAATGGGGCCCTGACTCCTTACTTCACACTTTTCAGTCCTAACAACCACACTCCAATCATACACTCAGTTCTGGAGAACTTGGAAGGACAAATCTAAAGTGCCCACCATAAATGGAAAGTTTTGAAGCCCATACCATATATACACTCAGTGGGCAAAGAATATAGGATCACAGTAGACCAAGTGTTGAGATGCTCACTTTTTCTCTCCTTTCTCTTTTGTTTTCATTTTTCTAAATAATGAGCTAAATATCATAGGAAGAGGTGTTAGGCGAAGTAGTACTCTGATATAATTCCAAGTTAATAGCCTATGCTCACAACTTCTGTTTCACTAGTCTGCCCTAACTTCCTGATTCATTTTCCATGTCGGTTTCCCCTGCAGGTATCTTCCTTACCAGGCAGCCAGAGTCCCAAGGAATGTAGAGGTAGCATACCAAGGGACCAGAGTCATAGCCCAGCATCATGGCAAGACTCTCAGCAAGAGTCATCACATGACTCTAAATCCAAGAACATGGTGGTCTCATCTTTGTCAAGCCCAGATACAAGTGTCTTGAAAGGAAAGCCCTCAGCATCTGTGGTGGAGGAAGAGCTTCAACTCAATGCCATTATAGGGCCACCAGAGACAGTCAACCAGGATAAGACCCTCACCAAGACGATCCCAGAGGGAGAACATCCAGAGAGTGTTGTTGGATCTGTCATCACTTCTACATGCAATAACACAACGGGGGTCATTGTAACTCATGTCACAGAAGAGGAAGATAGGTCTCTGAGGCATAACAGTACTGTGAAAATGCTGATACAAAGGCACTGCTTTGAGTCACCAAGGTCGTCGAGGACCGACTGGACTCCAGACAATCTCTATCATGTGGATTCGGAGATCGCAGGAACAGAGGGCAGCAGCAAAGTATGCCGTGACACCCAGCAAAACTCACTGGTACAAGAGAGGCCAGCACAGCTCCCTCACCAACACAGAAGAGCCATGCCACATAAAGGTGACCTTGTTCAGGACTTTGAGAAGTCAATTCCCCACCTTGATAAGCCACCTGGAGATGTTCCCACTGACTCAAATGTTGCCAGCTCTTGCTCTGTGACAACCCAGATGTCCTCCAGTCGGGTGTCAGCTGTTCAGAGTGCTGCGGGCTTGGGGACCTATAATACAAGAACAGCTTTTGAATGCACTCCATGTGACCCCATTAATACAACAGACCTGAGCCTGCAGACAGGAGCAAGGCAGGTCAATGATGTTGCTGTTCAGACTTATGCATGTGAATGCAAGCCCAGGCCCTCACCTAATAAGGCCTTAATTCATGGACCTATGCCCCTCACCAAATCCATCTCTTTGGATACAGGTTTTCCTAGCATCTCCCCAACAGGTGTCTGCCACATCATTCCTGCCCACTGTTGTGTCTGCTGTCATCACTGTTCCAATTGCCAAGGGAGGAGGCAAAGTCCTGGCCCAGAACCCTCTATATGCAGGCATTTCCTGTATTCACACACAGAAGATCCTGAAGCTCGGTTCATGAAGACATTGAAAATACTTCAGGACACCACTGTGAGGGACCTGTGCTCTGTAAGTGTTTCCTTTACAAAACTGGAAAGACAGATGCACCACACACACCACTAATACCACAGAGGTGGTGTTCATCTTCCTTTACAGCAGAGAAAACTCAAAGCATACCTTTTATTTTCAAACACGAATCATGTTTGTTGAGTGTTTTATAGTTTATGAGATAAATTCATATGTTCAAGGTTATAATATTAATGGACCTTCCTCATCTCCACATTAGTCTAACTGGGTTCTAAATTCAGTAGGCTATATAATCTTGCCTGGCCATTTAGTGTTTCTAGGACCATTATGTATAACAATGGGATGGAGACTGTGGACATAGCTCAGGACTTCTTAAGTACTTAGTACTGAGTCCTAAGTAGCTAAGTACTTGCTTAAGGCTCTGGGTTTAATGCATTCATTCATACATATATATATATATATATATATATACATATGAAGGGAATTGATTCATTTCGTTGTTATAAAATTGTCTAGGGATGAAAAGTTCTGTAAAGCATACAACATAATTACAGACTCATTGCAATATTTAGCACCAAGAAAGTTCAAGTTCCTATTAATTGATGGGTGTGATAGGTCAGGTTCATCTCTCCCCATGGTTCCAAGACCTCTCCTGCCCATCTCTGCTCTTCAACTCCTCCCACTCGTTTCCTTCTCCTCCCTCTGGATCTGGATGTCCCACCCTATGCTCTCCATTGCTCAGCACTGGCTGGTGGTTTAATTGAAAATACAGAGAACAAATGGTGGCATGTTTACACAAACTTGAGACAGGTGATGCTTAGAATAAACATCATAATGCAATGTCTGGATTGAAACCAGATAGTGGGGTAGAGAAATCAGCATTTGAATGAACAAGGGTAAATTGTATACATTCCACAAGAACATTATACCAACGGGGTCCCGAAGCTAAGTTAAGGATGCTTGGTATGATAGGGATAGAGACGAAGTCTGGACCAGCACCATGAGTCTCTCTGAATATGGACCAGTGGGTCTTCCTTTCTCTATTTCTGTCAAAAAGGGACCTTAGATTTAGGCAATTATAGGTGTGTGGAATAATTTGGCATCTGGAAACAGATGTTCTGCTTCCTTTGGCATGACAGCATGGAAAGATCTTGTGGCCCTTTGTGCATAGTCATCATTCTCAGACTGGGATGTAGGTGTCAAACCAGCAGGAGTTGATTGTAAAATTTGCTGTCTTGTTCCTTGCCTCATGATGCACACACACACACACACACACACACCTGCACGTGCGTGAACGTGGACACACATAACCACAACAAAGAAGAATTTGCAATTATACAGAAAAGACAAAGATAAATTGATTTGGCAGAAATGGGTACTCTACTGACTTTTACTAGGTAGCTGTGTATTTCTCCTCTAAATTTAAGGGTCCAGAAACACAAATTCAACAGGAACAGTAAACTCATGTGATCATATACACTTCCATATGTGTGTTTATTTTTCAGACACACACACAGGTGCCTGCACACACATGCAGATGAGCATGGGGTTGCTTTCTTTTATGAGCCTGGTGTTATTCAAGAAACTTGAAGACTGGAAAAGGAAAAGGACCTATGCTGTGAATGAGCCTGGGTGGGTCTGTAAAACCTGAGAAAAGGTTCTGCAGGAAATGTGGCTTTAAGTTAAATGCTGTGGGATAGCTAAGGCTTAGGAAATCTAGTATAGACAGAAATAACTAGAAACTAGGCCATGGGTGAAATGAAGATTACAGACAGAGATGGATGCTATCTGTCACATGGCAATAGGCATTTAGGGCAGATGTTGAAAGTAAGAGCAATTTTATGTAAAATCTTAACTTAAAAAGGCATACCTCCTCTACTATTGTATTTTATTCCATGATGGTTGACACTATGGAGAAACCTACAGCTAGTTTTGTGGTCATCTAGCCTACCTAGAAGACTAGCTTGTTGATATGGTTACGTTCTTATGTGCATGAGAGTTTGTAACTATAATTTGTCAGTGGAAAATTGATCTGTTCATTTAATTAACCTTTTACACATGAATTCTTGGGAGTGGTTTAAATAAAATATGTTAAGTCAAAACCAAACATATTTCCAGAATAAGATACATAAGAAATATGATGTCTACATATGAAAATGTTTTAGAATATTTAGAGATTTAGTTTAAAAAACTGTGTGAAGTTTAAAAAGTATGAGTGGCTGGGGATGGTGGTGCATACTTGTGATCCCAGCACTCAGGGAGGCAGAAGCAGGCAGAGATCTGTGAGTCTGTGAGTTAGAGGCCAATCGGGTCTACAATGAGAGTCCAGGATAGCCAAGACTACATAGAGAAACCCTGTCTCAAAAAAAGAAAAGGTGAGTCAATTAGAAAATGAAAACTCATGTTGTCGTTTTGGTTTGTTTCTATAGTGCCGCTCTGCCACTCTTACTGTTGAAGTTTGCAGTAATGGGTTGAGGCAGTAGAGTAGACCTTGTATTTTATGTGGGTTTAATCCAGACTGTACATAGAAGAGAGAGAGAGAATGAGAGAGAAAAAGAGAGAGGTCCTCCCACCCCACCACCTCCATCTTTTTCCTTGCCTGGATTTCCTTTATCCTGAAACATTTTTTGCCAGTTCTTGGACTAAATTGTGTATTTCTGAATGACCAGGAGATGGCAGCACTTCAGAATTTTCAACAGCACTACAGTCTTAAATCGCCAACTGGCCATAGGCAATCCCCAAATCCTAATAGAACACCAACCCACCCACAAAAAAATCAACCCCAAATTTACCCTGCCCACAAGATGTGTAAGGATAAAAATAGAGCAGACAGAGCAGAGATTGAGGAAATACCCAACGCCTGGCCCAACCAAAGATCCACCCTAAAGGACAGTGCCAACCCCTGACAGCATGAACAATACTCTGCTAAGCTTGTAGACAGGAACATTCAAGAGTTGTTCTCTGAGAGGCTCTACCCAGCACTGTCCAAAACAGATGCTTTGTGAGACATAACCAAACATTGGGAGATGAGTAGGGAGTCATGTGGAAAAGTGGGAGGAAAGAGTAAAGGACCTGGAGGTGACAGGAACTCCACAGGAAAACCAACAGATCCAACTAACCAGGACCCAGAGGGGCTTGCTGAGATGGAAGTACGAACCAAGGACCATGCAGGAACTGAACCTACGCCCCCTGCAAAGATGTAGAAGATGGGCAGCTTAGGGCTCATGTGGGTGCTCTAGAAAGGGAAGTCGGAACTGTATCAGACAGGACTCACTTGCCAGCTTTTTGATCACCTCGATCACCTCCCCCTGGGGGAACTGCCTTGCCAGGCCACGGGGAAAGAGGACATGCTCATTCCTGATGCAACTTGATGAGCTGTGGTAGATGGGAATGGGAGCTCCCCTTTACTGAGGAATAGGAGATGAGGGAGTGGGAAGGGACGGGGGAGGGTTTGCAAGGGTAAGAGGGATGAAAAAACAACCAGGATGTAAAGTGAATAAAAATGAATTAATTAAATAAAAAGCAATCTCCAAATCCAAGTTCCACACTCCTTATCATTCTATCTTAAAGGGTTACCCCCAAACATTGAGCTGAAGCTTGCAGAAGAGCTGTTACGAGATCAGCAAATCAGCACAGTACCCCACAGATAGACTGGTCTCAGTGGTTCAGAGATACACAGAGGACAGCAGTTAAAGTGGTCAAAACAGGTTTGATTCATTAACTACTGATTATAAAGGAAAGAGCTAGACTTCATTTTGATCTGTGCAAGAGTGATATGGGTATTTTAAAGAGAGGGTGAGAGAGAGAAAGGAGAGAGCAGGGGCTCCCTGGAGCTAGGAAAATAGAAAATGGCAAAAGGCCATTTGTGTGTTTGTGAGCTGACTGTATTTTAAGCACTTTTAGGTAAAACAACAAGCACCAAGGTGCCATGATCTTGGCCGTGTGATTTTGAGGATAAAGATTTTATATATACATATGTCTTGAGCAGAGGCAGAGGAGGTTGGATTCTGTGGCCTGGCAGTCAAATGAGTTTCATTTAAATTACTTTTCCAAAGCCCATGTAAGCCCATTCTCCCAGAGAGTCTTCTAGTTGAGCTCAATTCATAGGAACAGCTCTCAGGTCCTTAAGTAGGTCCTCAAGTAGGTCCCCTAACAATTGAAGTGGGGGCTCTCTCTGGCTTGGACTCTGTTGCATCCCTCTAGATCTCATTTCTCTGGCAGGACTGCCTTGTCTTGCCCCAGTGAAAGAGGAGGCACTTATTCCTGATACAATTTGATGTGCCAGGATGAACTGGTACCCAGTGGTGACAGTATCAGGAAAGTGGGCGAGCAGATAAGACTGGGAGAAGAGGAAGGAATGAGGTTGTGATTGGGATATAAAATGAACAAATAAATTAAATACAAGAGAAAGACACTTCTTGATTGTACAACACACGTGTTCACAGTTGTGAGTCCTTAAAAATGAAAGCTAGAGTTTTTGCCTCCGTGCCTGTCTCCCTGGTGATGTTTACTCAGTGAAGTGATCATCAGCAAGAAAGCATATTTTTGCAGCATATGGAGTCTACCAAAGAGGTCCACAGCTGGCCAAAACACAGAGAATAAGTGAGCCTTTTGATACCCAATCCAAAACAGGACATCCATAGCACAACTGTATGTCCTACCTACATCCATAGCAAAAATCTAAGGCTCAGGGAACAACAGGGAAGAGAGGGTGGAATGATGAGAATAACCAGAGACTGGGATATCAGCTGTGTGGCAATGTGGACATGACAGGGAGGTAACATCCATAAACTCTCAACAACCTGGCTGGCTGTCAAGACAAAGAAAGATCACAGCTGTTTACATGCTACCATGTATGGGAACCAAAACTCAAATGAGGCCTTACACATACATGAAGAGTGAGAAGCAGGGTTTTTTCAAGTACAAAACTCCAACATTAAGCAGTTATTCCTAAATACATGTAAATAAGGGCAACAGACTGTGTGTGTGTGCGTGTGTGTGCGTGTGTGTGTATGTGTGTGTGTGTGTGTGTGTGTGTGTGTGTGTGTGTGTGTGTGTGTATGTGTGCTTTCTGGCAACATTGAGCTTTCTTAGCCAAGCACTTTCATTAGATGATAATGGGTAATCATCCTAGGGGTATGGCCAAGTGCTATGCCAGAGTCTTGTCAACTCAAGTCAGAGTTATTAGCTTTAGTTCTTGGAAGTTGCAAGAATCTATTAAATCAGGAACACCAAGAGATAGCTAGTGTTGAAGACTGAGGGGTGTCGGCACAGGAAGAGTAGAAGAGTTCAAGTCTTGATTCTAGTTCCTAGAGAGCATGGGTGTCTAACATTTCTCTCAACTGAGGTTAATAGACAAGTAGAATGGATCCTGCAGATTTCCCTCTTCAAGGAATGTGGCTAAGCAAGGGTAAAACGCATTCTAAGCAGATTGTCTTGAACAAATACATACAAGCAAATGTGTTTAACATTCTTGACGCTAAGAGTGATGGGCTACTAGGTACCAACTGAGCAAGATTAAAGGAGGCTCCATTTTTTTTTAACTTTTATTAATTACACTTTATTCATTTTGTATCCCCCATAAGCCCCTCCCTCCTCCCCTCCCGGTCCCACCCTTCCCCCCTTTCTGTATGCATGCCCCTCCCCAAGTCCACTGATAGGGAAGGTCCTCCTCTCCTTCTTTCTGATCTTAGTCTATCAGTTCTCATCAGAAGTGGCTGCATTGTCAGGGTTCTAGGTTATCTCCACGGATAGTCCTTGGTTGGAGTATGAGTCTCTGGGAAGTTCCCCGTGTTCAAATTTTCTTGTTCTGTTGCTCTCCTTGTGGAGTTCCTGTCCTCTCCAGCTCTTACTATTTCCCACTTCTTACATAAAATTCCATTCACTCTGCCCGCCAGTTGGCCATCAGGCTCAGCATCTGCTTTGACAGTCTGCACGGCAGAGGCTTTCAGTGGCCCTCTGTGGCAGGTTCCTAGGTTGTTTCCTGTTTTCTTCTTCTGGCTTTCAGAGACCCTCTGTAGCAGGTTCCTAGGTTGTTTCCTATTTTCTTTTTCTTCTGATGTCCATCCTCTTTGCCTTTGAGGCTCCATTTTTTAAGTGCAAATTTGTTCTCTGCTGAGTCTTTCTTTTCTCCTCTGTCCACTCTCTTGAGTCTCTGAATTGTCTTGTACTAGCTTGGATCACCATGGACATAATTAATTCTCACTCAAGTGCCACTCAGCAATGGCTTCCTTTTGTCTTAGTCAAATACAATCTCTAATTTCTTCCAAAGCCATGGGTGGGGCCTCCCTGATCTCTTCAAACTATGTTAGCAAAAATAGTTGAGCTTCTTTGCAAACAGTGAATTCCAAATGGGAAGGAAGGCAGAGCCCTTCAGCGGCGTTAGCAGGAAGGTCACTATTCTCAGGTTTTTGTTTTTGTTGTCAGTGCACGGTCTATGAGATGGAAACCATGAAGCTAGTGTGCCAGAGTTTCTGGGAGCACTTAGAAGAACTCGAACAGCACTTCATGAGACAGCAGGCACTCTTTCCCAGGGACATATCAGAAGAGGAAAGGTAATTATCTAAGGCAAGCAAAAAAGTAAGTACCACACCACACACCTGGAGCAAGGGAAGGTAATCAGACCAGGCAGGCCAGATGAGCATGATGGAGTAGGGCTAATAAGAAATCGCCAGCCCTTCCTTTGCTTTCATGGTCTTAGTTTTGCTTTCTCGGTGTGAAATTGTGAGAGCCATCACTGGGTTGGTATCCTCATTATCAAATATTGAGGAGTGCTGTATGTTCTTATTTGGGATTTGGCATGTTCTAGAGCTGCGTAGCAGTCATCCTTATCCAGCTTAGTAACTTTCTTACAAATAATGTATTTCATCTTGAAATAGGTAAACATGATACATAAATTATGCCACAACAAAATTTCTTTTTGGAGACTGTGTGTTGGTGATATGGCTCAATGGTAGTGATATGCTCAATGGTAGAGTGTTAAAAAATCCATTGTTTTTTAACACTCCAAAGAGTGTGCAGGTGGGGTGGGAGTGACATGCCCTAGTGACAGACTTACCTTAATAACCGTATCGAGGAAGGTCAAAGTCTCTTTTAAGCAATCTTGGGAACTAGAGAGATGGCTTAGTGAGTAAGGGCACATGTGCCCAGCCTGACAACCTGAGTTCTGTTGAGAGAACTCCAAGTTTCCCTCTGCTCTACACACACACACACACACACACACACACACACACACACACACACACCACATAAAATTAAGAGAAGAAATGTCAAGAAGAATGGAAGACTGCACTGGTGGTAATTTTGAAGTTTGCTTTCCTACCGTCTCCCTGTAGGGAAGAGGCTGAGCACCTGAGGATTTTACGGGAGGCCCTGAGGCAACAGGTGGCAGAGCTGGCGTTTCAGTTAGGAGACCGAGCCAGGCAAATCAAAGAAGGGATCCTACTGGTAAGGACTGTGGTGGGCGCAGAGTGGATGCTGAGTCTGAATGTCTCAGCTTACTATTGTGGAGCTGCTTTAAATAAGCCAATGGTAGGACAATTTCATACTCTAAAAGTTACCTGTTATGTGGTCACCCCTGGAGATTGACCTTGGCCTGCTCATGCCCACACAGCTGTCAAGTGGTGTTTGATTCAGGTTTGTAGCTGAGCTTTCTCCTGCCATTTGAATGAAAGAGAAGTACTAATTATTCATTTTCCATGTAAGGGAGTGACAGGAGTGGGTGCTTCTCCTGCAGACAACTGGACAGCATCCATGACAGGCTCACAACCACCTGTAACTCCAGCTCTAGGGGATCTAACACCCTTTACTGAACATCTTGGACAACTCCAAACAGATATGTTCATAGTTAAAATCTATAAAAGAATTTTTTTTTCTCTGAACAAATGTATAAGAAAGATTCATGGGGCATATTGTTTACAGTTAAGAGTGAGAGGTGAGTACAACTCATGGTCCCTAAGTAAACATAGTTTACTTATTATAAAATATTTTGGCAAACATACATTTCTTTGGTGAGCAATTTGGGCTTTCTCGGTGATATCTGGCTTCCTGCCTTTCTTTGTGGAAAAAGCAGCTCAGATCCCTGGACCCACACATTTCTCCCCATGTGTCCTAGTTAAACTCTGTTGCTTTTAGAAAACACCATGTCTGAAAGCAGCTTGGAGAACAAAGGGTTTATTGGGCTTACAAATTACAGTTGACCATCAGGGGAAACCAAAGCAGTATCTCAAGTAAGTCAGGGGCCTAGAAACAGGAACTAAAGCAGAGGCTATGAAGGAATTCTTACTGCCTTGCTCTCCAGTAATAGAACAGCCTGATTGCTTATACAACTCAGGACTACCTACCCAGGGGCAACACCACCCAGAGTGGGCTGGGCCCTCCCACGTTCATTGTTGAGCAAGATATATAGGCAATCAGATGCAGGCATTTTTCTTAATGGAGGATCCTCTTCCCAGATGACTTGTGTCAAGCTGACAAAGAACTATCCAGTGTAGCATGTCACCATGGCTCCCTAGCTTCCTATCCTGCTCCTTACACACTCCATTTTGTCTTTGTTTTCAGCAGCTAGACCTTCTCTCAGAGGAGCTACCTGACCATTGTGCAAATCTGCAACAATGCAACTGGACAGAAGGAAAGCATGGCCAGAGGTCATGTGTTCAAACTCACAGTGTGGTCCCTGAGGCTGTCCTTCCTGCCAGCAGTGGGCTGCAGACTCCCTGCTCTGGGGTGACTCAGCTGGTTGCTCTTGGTCCCTCTGACCATGAGACCAAAGGCAGAATCTCTCTACAGTCACCAGCTATGACAGAATCATGTCCAGGTCCTTCAGCAAGTCATAGTGAAGAGAAGTGTCTGTTAGACCAGGGTGTGTCTGATGACCTTTGTACAAAATGGGAGATCCCAGAACAGTGGTAACAAAGGAATCCAAAATACTATGTACCTTTCTAATCTATAACTAAACTCTGAATAGTTTAATGTTCACTGCTTATATAATAAGAAATTCCTGCTATGCACCTGATTGGGGTATATTATAGTCACTGAGTAGCATATGACCTCTACCCTCATAGAGCATGTGTCATAGTAGAGGATGACAAACGTAAACACACATACATATATATAATTATAAATCAAGAAAATAACAACATGTCTTGATTTTATGAAAGATAAGTATCTGAGTCTGATCAGGCATCTGGAAAGCATTTTGGAGATGTAATATTGGTCATGCTGCAGGCAGCTGTGAACAAAACAGAATGTCTATGCATCAAGAGTTGGATAAAGTAAGAGAAACAACACATTGAATAAATGCCATTTCCATACAAGCAGTTTGTGAGTTTGTAGAGGACCCACTGTGTGACATGGGAGGAAAGTGTCCTGGAGGCTGCATCAAAAGAACTAATTAGGAAGGACTTGAAGGTAAGAAGGAGGAAGCCCTAGAGAACTCAGGTACAAGAGCCTGCAAAGCAGAAGAGTGGAAGATTCACAAGGCTGGGCTGTGGAAAGAGGCCATTTTGCCAACTGCAGTTAGTGATACAGTAGAAGGGGCCTGCGTGAGGACCCTGACTCTTCAGTCCATGGCATATATTATTTCAAGTCCAACAAAAATCCTCCATAAGTGTTGCACATGGTTTTCATAGGGTCCTCTCTACCTTTAATAATCATAGGAAGAGAACAGCGTGGAGCCTACAGAGAGACAAAGATGCTGGTTACAGCTCTATTGTTTGCTGTTGTCCCTCGGGTTAAAGGCAAAGGTTGTCTAGCTGTTTCCATACAGCTGTGGGAACATGTCTCCTACGGCAAGGGAAATTTATGGAGGTGGATACAAAGGCCAAAGAAGGACTCTCTAGAATTAGAAATAGATGAAAAATTAAAAAAAGGCAGAAACAGCATCCTGGGAACTGCATGAGGGAAGTGTCTTGTTTGTATGAGAGGATGGGTGAGCCTTCATATCACAGGCTCTGCATGCATGGCTTCAACTGATAACAGTTTGGCAACATTCAGAAAACAATCATATATGCATTATAGGTATCATTCTTGTCATTATTCAGCTATTGTGTAAGACATATTCCTCAGTTAGGCACTATAAGTAATGTAGGAATGATCGGAAGTGTTTAGAGTTTGCGGAAGTGAGTGTTTTATGCAAATGATACATCGTTTAATGTAAGGGTTACTGGACAGAGTAAATGCAGTAAATTGGTTGCAGTGTTTAATTCAGTATCTCTCACAGAGTAAATGCTGAATATAGGTTTATTATTATGGATGCAAAAAGCAAAACATCAGTAAGCCCCTTCATTCTGTTGAGAAGGATTCTGTGAGTAGAGCAGCTTACTCAGGAAGTATATTAACAAATCCTTGAGTAATGGATGAGCAGAATAAAGTAACACTCTCAAGAGACAGGGAAGACAATGACCTCACCACAGAAGCAGCATCATTTCGGGCTGTAGGAGGAGCTGAGCTTGGGCTTAAAAGAGATTTGTGTGTGGATGGTTTCAACCATCAGGCAGATGACTTCAGCTGTGAAGAAGGAGGTGGAGACCCACTGCTTGAATTAAGGATGTGAAATGGAATCCCCAAAGAGTTCTCTATAGTCAGTGGCAGACCAGATCCCAGCGCTCCAATGGGGAAGATGAAAGGAAGCACAAAATAGAAAGGCTTTCATGTTCCACCCTGAACATTTGCTGTCTTCGATGACTTCAATGACTGATGGGCTGATTGCTAAATATCACCCAGAATTTCCAGTTTTCAGGCTTTGGACTCAGACTGAGTGTAATCATTGACTCTCCTGGTTCATGTGACAAAGGTCTTATCTCCAGTTGGTTCTATTTTTCTGGAGAATTCTGATAGTAAAAAAGTCTCAAAGATCAAGAGACTGACTAATAAAAAGGTATGCTGAATCTTGGGTTTGTTAATAAGAAGCAATTGAACTACTGCAATAAGTCCAAAGTTTGATCCAATTTCATTACTAATTATTCATATTTAATAAACTAAGCTCTGTAGGTCTTATGGTCATCCCCTATAAATGAACAGAGATGACTCTTATTCAGCCCCTTAGCCAAAGCTTGGAATGCTGTCAAGGCTCAGTAAGTAAATACAGTGTTTGTCATTAGCAGGATGATGACAATGAGAGGGTGGGTGTCATTGGTTGACCATCTTACCCTTAGCTCAGTGCTGCACTAAGTACTTGATGTGTCTTGTCACAAAAAATTCTAGAGCAAAAACTCATCTAGGCCTTCTCTCTCTCTTTCTCTCTCTCTTTCTCTCTCTCTCTCTCTCTCTCTCTCTCTCTCTCTCTCTTCCTCCCTCAAAACAAATGAACTAGTAAGGGAGTGAGCAGATACTCACTGATTTTTGACAACAATGTTTATCTTTAAGACTCTGTTAAGTCTTGAGGCTTGTGCACGGCTCACTGATTGGCCCAGTCAACCACAGTAACCCTGTTTCTGTCTACATTCTGCACTGGATTTGGTTGGCCTTAGGTAAATACTCACTGCTTAGAAAAGGTTAAAACACTTTATGTCCTGTCCACATTTGACTTTTGTAATCAGACAGGTTCTGCTGCTTTCGTGTAAAATATTTTGCACTATATGGTATCCCTTTGTACCTATCATTTTAGGAAATTTTAGCTCATAACGATTGTCCCGTTGTCAAGATAATGACAAGAACCCCCATGCATTTCCTGAATGATGTCATACTTTCTTTCCTCTTTTTCGCTTATATTTTGATCTTGTCCAAGTTGACTCTTGAGAAAAGTTTAAACTATTTAATTGAAAATAGAATTAAAAATAGAGAAAACCATTGTTGTAATGCCTTCAGGAAGCAAATAACATAAGTATTCCTTTACATGAAGCTAAAGTCATTTTCTTTAAATCAGAACATCCCTGAGATTTCACCTTACACCCATCAGAATGGCGAAGATAAAAACTCAAGTGACAACATATGCTAGAGAGGATGTGGAGAGAGGGAAACCCTCCTCCATTGCTGGTGGGAATGTAAACTTGTACTTTGAAAATCAATCTGGCGCTTTCTCAGAAAATTGGGAATAGCGCTTCCTCAAGATCCAGCTATAGCACCCCTAGATATATATCCAAAATATGCTCAACTATACAACAAGAACATTTGCTCAACCCTGTTCGTAGCAGCTCTATTTGTAATAGCCAGAACCTGGAAACAATCTAGATGCCCCTCAGTTGAGGAATGGATACAGAAATTGTGGTACATTTACACAATGGGATAGTACTCATCTATTAAAAACAATGAAATCATGAAATTTGCAGGCAAATGGTGGGAACTGGAAAAGATCATCTTGAGTGAGGAAACCCAGAAACAGAAAAATACTCAATATCACTCCTAAGTAGATATTAGCCATATAAAATAGAATAAACATACTAAAATCTATACTCCTAAAGAAGTTAAGAAACAAGGAAGACCCCAGGGAAGATGCTCAATACTCATTCAGAAGGACAAATGTGATAGATATTGGAAGCAGGAGAAGACAGGGAACAGGACAAGAGCCTAGCACATTTGGCCTTTGAAAGACTCTACTGATCAAAGCTTCAAAGCAGAGCTTGAGAGTCGTAGCCAAACTTTGGGCAGAGTTCAGGGAATCTTATGAAAGAAGTAGGTGATAGAAAGACCTGCAGGGGACAGGAGACTAACAGAGCCCAAAAACAAAAACAAAATAAAACTGAGTCCTGGGGGCCTTGCAGAGACTGATACCCCAACCAAGGAAAGTGCATGGAGAGGAAATAAAACTCCAGCTCAGAGGTAGTCCATAGACTCAGTCTCCAAGTGCAGGGCCTTTCTCTGGCATGAACTCAGGGTCAGGGTCTCTTATCACCTCCCCTGGGGAGTGCAGCCTTGATAGGCCACAGGAGAAGACAATGCAGCCAGTCCTGATGAGACCTGATAAGGCTAGGTTCAAATAGAAGGGGAGGAGGACCTCACCTATCAGTGGTCTAGGGAAGGGGCATAGGAGGAGAAGAGAGAGGGAGAGTGGGATTGGGAGGAGTGATGGGTACACAGCCATGATGCAAAATGAATAAATTGTAATAAATGATAATAAAAACATGTTGAGCTCTGAAAAAAAGAAGGTGAAAAGAGTAAACTCAGACTTCAAATTAGGCATTTGCCAGGAAACAACTTGGACTCTTCTATATCTTGTTGTATATCTTGTTATATCTTCTATATCTTGTTCTTCCTTGTGTGGATTTTACTCCCTCTAGATTTCAGTACTCTCAAAGCCAAAGCTTCAATTAAAGAGTCTAATTTCAGAAACAACACTTGGAATTCAAGTCACATATTTTCTTTGACTTTGTTATGCATGAGTGAAGACCCACGTTCCATGACAGAGACAAAGAAAACAACCTTGAAGGCTGTTCTGATCTATAACACACTCAGCGACCATATATTTTGTGTAAAGAAATTCATGAAAATATTCTTCAGAAACTCATCCTGTAAGACTTAGAGTATTAAACAAATCTTTCTTCTTTTATTTTTCTGTTGAGCTGAACCTTATTTTTCTTCAAAAGAAAATAATTTTGTTAACACTGAAAAATGAAGCAAAAAAAATGTAATGATGGAGCTTGTTCTGGAATTACTGGTTCTTCACTGAAGTAATTGGTTTCTGCAAAGTAAAATGAAATAAAATAGGGCATTTATAAAAAGGTCAAAGAATCAAAGTTCTTTCTTCTTGGGGGGAATATTTCCAGGCTGTTTTCCTGTGGGATGGCAGGTTGTATATCTAATTTCAAATTGGAATTTGAGCACTATGTAACAGCTGTAATTACAAGGACGACAGATTATTCAAACGGATGTCAAATTTTCCTTCTTGGAAACAGAGAATGTGAACAGAATCTGAAACATAGACTCCAACTTTCTTACCTTAAAATCAGCCTCTCTAATGTTTTACTTTCTAACTA